CACAATAATGGGGATTTAGCACCTACATGTCATACTTTAAATTAGGCGTGGTGATTGATACCATAATCAAATTCCATAATCCATAGTTGCATCACCCACGAAAGCTTATGCTCCAATACGTCTGTTAGTCTATAAGGTGCCTCAGGACTCTGTCGCTTTTTACAGATCCAGACTAACATGGCTACCCCTCTGATACATAATCCATAGTGTAATTTTTTTTCTTTCTTCCATTACATATCTTCAAAATAAGGTCTCTCTAGACCATCTTTGGTACAAAGAAATTTAAACGTAAGTGATGTTTCCCTTAAAAAAAAAAAAGTACTGACTGCAACAGAAGAGGAAATTATTACTCATAGACACCCCGCCCCCATATGCTCTGCAGTGCACTCATAAAAGCAAGTTCTATTTGATATATACTATTACAAGCTGACATTGAAATGAAGCATTTAGCTTTTTTTCTGGAATAGAAAGGCCTAAGTGAGATTTGTGGATCAATACTATCTATACTAGTGAGAGTCCCGTTCAGCACTTGTTTTTGACAGTAGAAATTAATGATCATCTCTTATAGTCAGGCATATATTCTTACCTCCGAGCACAAGGATTTATGGACCTAATCCAAGCCCAGTGAAGCTAACGGGACTCTTTCCAGTGCATTCAGTGGGCTTTGGATCAGGCCAAATATTAATTAATGCTAATAACAGCTGCAAGTGCAAATCCCCATGCCTCAGGATAAAAACACACCTCAGGGTATTTCGAGCATCCTTAGTTTCTTACTGTTGCATTGTCTTGACTCTGAAGCGCACCTGTGCAATGATAAGCATGGAATGATGAACAGACTGTGTACACATATTGCATAAACTCATTAGCATTTGGAAAAATGTCTCAGCCACTACCAGCTGAGCTAGCAGCCTATGCATAAAAAATAATTCACACAGCTATAATGTATCATTAAACAAAAACATCCTCAAGAACATTAGCAATATATTTACTTGGATCTTGTTTTTGTATAGGTAGCTATTAATCACAAAGTAGCCAGAAAAATGGGTGTAACAAGCCCCAACATCTTGATTCAATACACTTCATAGTGAAAAGCAAGAGTGACTATATTTTATATTCAAATTTACACTAGAAGCACATTCTGGTAAATAAATTCTAGGAGCTCATCTCTGCCCTGTAGTCACAAAAGCAAAAACCACAACTGCATCTCTAGGTTCTTAAGGGCAGCAGAGTTTACACTCCGTACTGCTGTGTTTTGGCAGATCATACTGTGGGATTTCAACATCTGTACGTCTCGTAAATTTGGTAAATCTCTAACCAATATGTATGCTTACAAGTCTTGGGTAATGCATTTTATTTACCATGTGCTTTGTTCTGGCTGTCCAAGCTAGGATGAGCTTCCAAGCTTTGTTCATTCAATATTAATTAACGTGGACCATATTAGTAATTGAGACTGGCATTATGCAAGAAATAAACACTGACAGCTCAAAAAACAAAAGTATCCAACCTCAGAGTGGGCATCAAATATATATAACTTTCTCCTCATTTCTTATAGACAGTTCCTGACAGCTGCAAACAAAAATGTATATAACCCAAGAACTAATTGTTTTTAATCAACGTGCTTTTCACCATTTAAATATATTTATCCTTTTCCTACCAGCATTCAATGTTCTATTGCGTTCTCTCACACATGGTATATTGAAACAGGTCAATTAAATAGACATTGTCCACATATTTTAGTAATCTGTACTGCATTATTCTTGAATTATTGGTTAAATTAAGATTATCCACATACTTCACAGAAAACATATAGACTGTTTGAGAAATCCTGGCCACACTGAAGCCTATGGGAATTTTGCCATTCACGACAATTAAGTTGAGATTTCATCCTGTATGTGGATGAGTAGAACCCTTACTTAAATTTATAAATCCAGAGGGCTAAATTCTGCTATCATGCACATGGATTTAACTGAAACAGATTCTGGCCCAAAATCTACCAGGGAGAATCACAGCTTCATATGATGTGTTGCATGCTGGATTTTGCATTTGTTTCGCTAATTTGCTTTGAAGAGGTGTAAAGTCACAGGTGGGCAGACAGCTCTATATTTATTTTGTATCCGACCAGTTCATCTGTCTTGGATATTTCCAGAGTTATTTGGAATATATTACTAATGAAAAATGCTCCAGATCTTCTGTTTTCAGACAGAAGTATGCAAATAACAAAAGCGTAGAGATATACTTGTATACTGCTTAGCATCAACCCACAACCACCACTTCTTACGTTTGACAGGTCTAGCTTTTGCAGTAGGCAAATGGCAAAATCCTTGTGAAATCTAAATTTTGGACACAGCTTACTTGTAGTCCTGTAAACACATTCCACTTTTTGGTGCTATGCACACAGGCATCCAAGGTCAAAACTGAAGCTTAAAAATGTAAATATACAAATACTGTACCCTCCCATTTAGCTAACCGGCCTGGGGGACATCTGAACATTTTCGATAACCAAGTGTTCAGCTAAATGGAAGTGCTATTTTGAACATAGGACTACATGGGGGACACACTGGATTTGGATGACTAGGATTTTTGGATAAAGGGAATTTGGATAACTGGAATTGTACAGTACATCCGGGAAGCCTATCAGGTAGTTCTTCAAAACAGACAGAGATCCTGTATTTGTATAATTGGAACCGTTTTGAAAAAAAGTCTTTGATCTAGAAGGACTATTATAATACTACTTGCACAACAATGAATGGTTATAAACAAGGCTTTGTTTTGTCATTTGTAAATATTGCCTAAAAGATTCTAGTTTGTCACAAAACGTGTTTTTGGTTTTCTTTGCCATTCTTGCTCTCCTTAACCCTGATTTGTCCACCCTGCAATACATCATGGCATTGCTGATGAGTGAAGCTAACCTTGGCTCGTGGGACACAGCTGCCTGCAAGGATGCAGCGATGACAAGTAGTAGAGGACATTGCAGATAAAATAACTGGAAAACTGGGATTTGCAGATTTAGTTTCATTTTCATAAATATTTTCTGAATTTAGCTATTAAAAGCTCAACCCTGTATTGTTTCTGCACTCAAATCTCCAGTGAAATCATCCGCTATCTGGGAGCTCCAGGAATGCACACAGCCTACACCTCTGACCTAGCCTCTTAGCCTCTCTCCCTCTATTCTATTTTTCTGCTTTCCACCTCCCCCAGCCCCTTCAGCTCTGATAATATCACCACCTTCAGTGCCCCCTTTGTGTGTTACTTTTCCAAACATCCTGAGGCTTTTTCCACACTGTCCCCTGCACACACATGGAATACTCTCCCCTCTCCCAAGCCAACAAGCCAGCTGAATCCCTCTCTCAATTCAAAGGACTCCTTAGGATGCACTCCTTCCAGGATGCTTCCAGTGAGCCAGTAATAATTTTTAAAGCAAAAAAGCACTTTTAATTGACTCATCGAGATGTGCACAGGCTTAAACTAAATGACTGTGTGATCTTGTCATTCCCACCTTGTCCATCCCTGGGTATTTGTTACACCTGTCACTGCACCAAAATCAGAGCATAAACCCTATGGGACATGGAGCATGTCTTACTATTGCTTTGTGAAGCCTCTAGTACACTTTTAGGTGCTGCTAAAATAAAACATGAATAAAATAGACTGCAGATTGGACACCAACTGTGATCTTGACAAGCAGAAACCTAAATTGTAATTAATTAAAAAACTATTTTCAACAGCAACTCCTCTCAGTTAGACATGTGAAATTCCACTTACTTCAGAGGGTACCGGGGATTAACTGAGATGAGAAGTGAGCCCAGTAGGGAACCACAAGGATGGGCAGCATGCATCACATTGCCTGCCATCCCTTAGGGTCAATACACACCAGGGGGTCACAGGGCTTCACACCACCACCAATGAATTTGGCCGGGAGAGGAAGGGCCCATAGCACTGATTTGTAAAGTGCTTTGAAATACAGTTCTATCTAACACTGGCCAGGGTTAATACCAGAATATAGATCTGCTGGCAAATGTTTAATCATATTCCGATGCCATCTTTGTCTTCTTATCTAGCAATGTCTAGTGAGCCCATCACAATAGCTCCCAAGCATTGCAGCTTGCTAACTAGGGTCCAATGCTAGTGTAGACAAAGCTCAAATGGGACAAAAAGACAGAGTAGAGCAGAGGCAAGGAGATCATCTATGGGGAGTTCTATACTTAAGTGTGAAACTGGGTAAGGTAAGATCAAAGGCAACAGCAATTATGTCAGAGATGAAAAAGGGACAATTCACAGGAAGGTTGATGACAATTTTACTCCAGAGTCGCAGGCTATAGGACCCTATCTATTCTTTAAGCCATCCAGGCAGTAATTTTAGGACCAGAAACGCAGGCAACACTTTGGACTCCAAAATTGCACATGCATATTTTTGCTGAACATCTATTCACATTTCAAGTGGCATTTGTGCACACAAATCAGATAACTGACTGTCTGAACAATATGGATGGGAAATATTGAGTCTATGGATTCAAAATTTGTGTGAGCAATGTTGGAGGCTAGTTTGGGGATGGTTTGAAAATGTTGCCCCTTTGATCTTATTTTCTCTGCCCATTTATTTTTGTAGAAATGCAGATTTCTGAAGCTCAAAGACAGAAGCACTTATCTCATATACAAGATCATCATCAAATGTAAAAAAATTCAGCTAATATTGTAATTATTTTTTATCGTAGTAAAGACTGCAGTTCCTGTTCATGAATTTATCTTTCCCCCTCCCAATGCTCGGTTCTAATACACACCTTTTTCCTTTAGAGAATAACTCAATATATACCACAAGATACATACTAAGTGGGAGGGAGTCTATTATCCTCTCCATGCACAGAGTGCTATTTGTATAATTACAATTAGCGTTGATGTGCGGGAGAATGGTGTGGGTAACATTCGCTAAGAGAAAAATAGATACCCTCTCCCCGCCCCCCCAAAATTATAACGGTTTGTCTTCCGGATAGTTTGAAAGCAAGAGATTAGCTGTGTTTCACAAACTCTGGCAGCTCCATTCCTGTGTGCAGGTTAAGTACGCCAGCTTTCTCCAGAACAAAGGCAGGATGAGCAGCATTGGTAAATCTGTGCCTGATGGTGAACAGAGCTAGTCCTCTCTCTGCATTGAAGAATGAAAGTCTCCCAGCATTATAATCCAGCAGAATGCCGACCCTGGCTGGCTGCTCCGTCATGTAAACATCACTCATTACACCATGGTGGAAGAATTTATAAATGAAACTATAGAGAATGGGAAATAGAAACAAAATGGGAATCCATGATGCCATTAATCAGAAATAAACTACCACCATTTATTTCCCAGCCATTAACAAATTGCTGCCTCTCGTACACTTTGCACAGTGCAGTTCACACACTGAAGGAGATCTCCGAGAAGTATGAAACTTACTACATGTCTAAGCTGACATTATTTCACAATACTACCTTGTACACTCTGAACTCTTACACTAGCCCCATAGCATTTCAAAGAACTCTCTTTCAGGAGAAAGACACCCATTTTAATCTTCTTCATCAATGCCACCTTCGTTCTTTTCCGGCCTCTGGGCCCAGTTATGGTGTCATGGGGATTTGAGGATGCTCAGCGCCTCACAAGATCAGGCCCTATTTGTCTCAAATGCTGCATTTAGTTGATTGTTACTAATATGCTCAGATTTAGGATTAAATAAAAAATGTACTCCCCAAAGGTTGGCACTTTACTTGAACCTGTAGTATACTCATGTCCTATAAATAGGGCTACGATTTTGGCTTGGAAATTTTAAGTAAATTTCATGCCAAAAGTGTGGGGGGGGAAATAGATAAGTCACAGAAAGGAGAACAAGCCCACCCCGCTCTCACCTCACAGCAGCAGTTCTGTCCCACAGTGCTGGGCCCGGCTCCCCTTGCTGGGCGTTGCAACCTGGCACACAGGGTCGTACCACAACTTGGGTTTGGCCCATCCACTGCTCTGCAGATAGAGGCAGAGGGGCCAAACCTGAGTGGTGCTGAACCCTGTGAGCCAAGCCACACCACCACTCGGGCCTAATCAAATGTCTTTATACAGCCATTTCCAAGATTGCACTGACTCCATTCATGTTCAGGATTTCCGTAACCACAGTGACCTCCGTGACAAATCATAGCCCTACCTATACAGCCCTAAGTGACCTGAAACTGTCCCTTTCCCCATGCCACAGCTGCAGCCGACAGGGGCACTCAAGCTGGATCCCCCTCATTATAAAAGAGTGGAAGGGCTGGCAGGGTGTGCTTTGTGTGATCTCCAGGACTCTGGAACTTGCTCCATGCTCCAGAAGTGACCTTCTGCACATGCTCCAAAAGCCCTTTTTGATAGGGTTTTGCAAGCGGGTTGAGGGTATGTCCCCAGAACCCTGTACGTAATCCACTGGCTGGTTGAGCTAGGTTGGGGTCATTTGTGCCTGATAAATGTTTGTTTTTTAATGCTGCCGGATGTGCTAAGCTGCTGTCAGACTAAGTGTCAAGTACTTTTATAGGCATATTTTTATAGGTATATTTTTATCTTTTATGGGTATATTTTTAATTATGACTTAAATCTGAAGAAATAAAAACAAAGATGTCTTCCACCATGTGCAAAAATGTAACTTTGCAAGTACCTAGACTCACTCAGCTTTACCTTGTTTGTGTAGAACAACAACATATGCACCAAGAAGTATCATCCTGCCCCAGGATGCTGCCTTGTGGTGTAGAGTTATAGCAGATTCCAATCCGGTAGCCTTTGCAGCCAGTGACGGTGGTTTCCCAGTAATGCCGACCACGAGCTGGCAGCAGCTCACCCAGGACAGATGGAATTCTACGAACGAAGAGAATACAGCAAAGCCAGTATTTCAGCATAGTGACTGCATAATGTTCTTTTCATCGCTTATAGTCACATCATGTGGCAGCATCTTATATTGCTTACATAATAACTTCATTCTCCTAAGTGAAGCTTTTCAACATAAATAGCTTAGTTACTTTTAGCAAAAATGCTCTCTGATTCTACCTGCACATTGTGGTAAACTTGCTGTGAGAATTTAAAACTATTAAACATTATAGAAAGCCATATGATGTCCAGTAAAAGACACACAAGGATGTAGAATAACATTTTCAAAAGTGCCTGGCTGATTTAGAAGTCCCATTCTCAAAAGAGACTTAGGCATTAAGGGCTGGTCTACACTAGAAAGCTTTTATTATACTAGTACAGTTAGATTGAAAAAAAACCAACCTAGTATGTATATGGTTATGTTGGTATAAAACTGCTTGTACCAATGTAGATTACTGAGGTTCAGGAAGCCAAACAAGCTATATCTGTATGAACATCTTCTATGCAAGTATAACTGCATCCACACTAGGGCTTGTACCAGTATAACAAAAAGACCACATCCCTAACTGACATAGTTATACTGGTTTAACTTTTCTAGTGCAGACCAGCCCTCAGAAGTCCCTTTTGAAAATGAGAGGCTCTTAAGTGACTTAGGGGAAGTTTACACTTAAAACACTGCATCGGTGTCACTGTAGCACTAACGGAGATGCTGTAAGTCGACAGGAGAGAGCTATAAAGAGAGAATAGTGAATACTCCTTATGAAAGGAAAGTAAGATGACCAGCCATTTTTAACCATGGTCAATATGGCAATAAAATCACAAATCAGGTCTTCTTGGGGCAATTTTCAAGACAGAAAGGGTCTTGGAGAGCCAGAGAACTGAACATGGGCCAAGACAAGGGCAGAGCCAGTCACTCCAGTATGTAGCTTATTCTCTGAATTCTTATCTCATAAAAACATGGTGACTGGGCAATAAAACAAAATTCAATGTTGATAAGTGCAAAGTAATGCACATTGGAAAGCATAATCCCAACTATCATATAAAATGATGGGGTCTAAATTAGCTGTTACCACTCAAGAAAGAGATCTTGGAGTCATTGTGAATAGTTCTCTGAAAACATCCACCCAATGTGCAGCGGCAGTCAAAAAACTAACAAAGTTAGAAACAATTAGGAAAGGGATAGATAATAAGACAGAAAATATCAGAATGCCATGGTATAGCCACATCTGGAATACTTCTGGCAGTTCTGCACTTCCCATCTCAAAATAGATATATTAGAATTGGAAAAAGTACAGCGAAGGGCAACAAAAATTATTAGGGATATGGAACAGCTTCCATACAAGAAGAAATAAAAAAGACTGGGACAGGTCAGTTTAGAAAAGAGACAATTAAAGAGGGATATGATAGAGGTCTATAAAATCATGAACGGTGTAGAAAAAATGAATGAAGGTGTTATTTACCCCTTCACATAAGACAAGAACCAGGGGCCATCCAATGAAATTAATAGGCTCCAGGTTTAAAGCTAACATAAGGAAATACTTCTTCACACAACACACTTTTGAAAGCCAAAAGTATAACTAGGTTCAAAAAAGAATTAGCTAAGTTCATGGAGGATAGGTCCATCAATGGCTATTAGCCAAGATGGTCAGGGATGCAACCCCATGCACTGGGTGTCCCCCTAAGCTTCTGACTGCCAGAAGCTGGGACTGGATCACTCACTAATTGCCCTGTTCTGTTCATTCCCTCTGAAGCATCTGGCACTGGCCACTGTCAGAAGGCAGGACACTGGTCTGAGCCAGTATGGCCATTTTTATGTTTTTATCAGTTTAATTTTCAGTGGAGGTTTCTCAGTGCAGCCTTAACCTCTTTACAACATTAAAAAAGGTATCAGACTAATAGACATGGATATGTTGTATTTTCTCTTCCATCTGGCCTCAATTTTATTAAGGTATCTGGATAAGCCAGCTTGATGGTTTCTTCATTTGAGGATACAATGTTTTGTTACCCTTCTCTTCCTCTCTTAATATTAAAAGTTAGAATATAATATTTTTAAAGTGTATATTTTGATAGTATTTTGTATCCTACTCTCCCAACCTTCAAATATTGGTTTGGGGGAGGGGAGTGTTTTATTATTTTGAGCTGTAATGGACAGGCACTACACATCTAATTGACTGATGTGAGCCAGCTACTTTGCACCGCTCCAGGACCACGGACTGTCACGCATAAAAGAACAGCTTTCAGGCTGCCTTAGCTTACACCAGAGACCGCACTGGGACATGAGAGCATAAAGGTGGTTGTTTATGCCAGTTGAACCACATAATCTGGCCCATTTCATCATCTGTATTGACAGTGCCTAGCATACTGTTGTTGCTACCAGAATGCAAATAATTTAATTAATAATACAATAACAAATCACAACATCGGTGCTATTTTTTCTGAAACATTCCTTTGATACCTCTGTTTTAAAAAAAAAAACCAAGGTGTTTTCTAAAGTCCCATAATAATTTATTATGGGTGTTTTTTTTAAATCAACTGTCATAAGCAAATAAATTGACCGCAGATCACTCTCCTGTCGACTCCTGTACTCCACGAGAAGCACAAGGGGAGTCGATGGGAGAATATCTCCCGTTGACATAGCGTAGTCTGGACCCCAGGGTAAATAGATCTAAGTATGCCGACTTCACCTACGTTATTCACATAGCTGAAGTTTCGTAACTTAGATTGATCTCTCCCTTAGTGCGGACAAGGCCTCACTCTCTTATGCAGGATGAGGCAGATTCTTGCTTTCATTGAAGAGGTGTTCTTTTCCCTCCTAAAGCAGTTCAAGTCCAGTTTCTCTTTGTTTTTAAGGAGAATTCTCCACTTCCTTGCACCCTATATAAAAGTGGGTGTAAAATGTTGCCATTTGATTAAGCATTTTGCATCCACCTGGTGCAGGGGTAGATTACACAAGGTACAAGGCTTGACCAAACATAGGTTTTGCACCGATTTAACTAAATCAGTAGAAAAATAACTTAGTTAAACTGGTGCAGCCTTCGAGTGTAAACTCAGTTATACCATAACAGGGTGTTGCACCAATTTCACTAAATGTTTTTTCTACCATTTGAGTTACATTGGTGCAAAAACTGGGTGTAGACAAGCCTGAAGAGTCAGGCCCCATATTGAGACATCAGAACTTCCATGCTCAGGATTCTGATACTTACCCAGTGAATTTAGTTCTCTCAGGAAGGCATATCACAGTTCCATCGGACGACACTTGCAAAGCAGGATGACCTGTGTCACTCATCACATGAAATCTAGTTCCTGTTATTATTCATGACAAAGAAACACACACCAATTCAGGGATGACTACAGTGCTCCTTTGAAATGAATCATAAAATACCAAACAATACAGCAACATTTACTTTTTTCTAAACAAGACACAGCAGCAAGATGAGTTTCTCTTAGAGAAGGGCAGAGCCCGAACAGTGCATCCTTAAGCGCAACTACTCTTCTCTTGTAATTCAGATCTGGATCTGAACGTGGCAGCTTGGATCCATCTTATTTTCACAAAAGGAGGAGGTGGTGTATGCAAGTGGTAAGCCTTAAATCAGGGCGATACCTATATCAGCAGTGTTTTCCCTGCTTCACCCTCCCACACATAAAATAATTATACAGCAAGAGCAGCAGTGGCTACCAGCATTGACAGCCAATTTAATTTTTGTAGCATTTTCTAGCATAACTATGAAAGTTTCACAAAGGGGAACCCAGTAGTTTTGAACTTTAATAACTTTCTTTACTAAACTATCGTGATCCAGTTCCCCACTAGAATAGCACACTCAAACACGGTCTCACTACATAGACTTCCAAGTGAATCTGCCATAGGCAATCACACATTCAAAAATAAAAATAAGATAACTAAAGATATCCTGGAAAATTGTATGACTACTGTACATAGGGTTTGTTGCTGTAATTGTTCTCCACATTTCTTTACTAAATTTTATTGCCACCGTCTGTTCTGCGTCCATCAAAATCTTTTTCATTAGTAATGGGTAATGTTATGCCAAAGAAGGTAAGGGCTCCCAAGTGCTTAGGATAGTTCAAAAACTCTTTGGGCAACACAGAGATCCCTGGTATTAAAAAAAGTTTTGAAGTCAATCAATTATTTTTCAAAACAGAGTTTTTGAAGTTTGAGTTGCCATAATGTATCTTCTCCTAAAACACTGGACTACGTTTTTGGGGTTTTTTTTAATCCACTTACAAACTTTTAGTTGTGTTTCAGATCATTCTGTATAATTTTGAATAGAATCTATTAGGAAATGTCTTGCCAAGGTAAAAAAAAGATCCCCAAACATATCCAGGTAAGGCACACAAAGGGCTGAAATGCAAACATGAGTTTCTGTCAACTGTTGAATTCACTGGGGTTGCATAGGTCTAATGAGGGCAGAACTTGGTATTGTTTTAGGAGTTTTACATTCATAGGAGTTGTATAAAACTCCAGAACCTGAAGAACACTGGACAGTTTCCAATGGTCCTGATTTCACTTACACCAGCTTTACACTGGCATAACTCTATTAAATTCAGCTGAGTTATTCCCAATTTACACTAAAGGTCAGTCAAATCAGAAGCAGGCCCAGTATGTCACAATGAACTGGTTACTTTTGGAGACTAAATTTCAGCATTAAATTCTGGGGCAATTATGCCACCTTTGAGTGCCCTGCCACTCTACCTCATTGTTTTGATGTCAGAAAAGGCAGATCTACCTTTCGTTGAGATGAGGGCGGCTTCACTCTGTTCACTTGTCCCAGATGAGTTGGCAGCTCTCACATAGAAGAAATAATTCACATTGGGCTGCAGATTAACTTGCAGTTCAGGCTTTTTTATTCCAGCAAAAGATCTAGAAAAATTCAACAATTTTTACAATTGAAAATGCATACTAAAACTATCATGATCAAATGAAAATGATTTCTTATACAAACAGCCAAGCCATTTTAGCTAAGTAATACTGTACTTGGATATTACAGTGATGGGCACTGTAGGAAAACCTGAGGTTGGATGGAAGCGTAGACAGACAGATCTTCTTTTCTTCAGATTACAGACGGATTTTGCCGTTTTACCTATGACATTTTCCCTCATTTTACTGGCTTTAAAATGACTTGAGTCTCTACTGCCTTGCACCTTATATAGTTATTTACACCTATGTAAACCAGGTGTGAAATTCAACTAATCTGATTTAGTAGCATTTTACACGCACTTTGTGCTCAGCTTGCACAGATGGAAGTGAGTATACAAAGTGCAAGGCAGTGGAGAATCAGGACCCCTAATTTTCATTGATCTGCCCAGTAAAACATCCATGTTGCCAGATGAACGAGTTCAACAAATAGAACCTGCAATAAATACAGCCGCATATGAGAACACATGGCTGGTATGACGGGCTACTTAAATACAGATTTCAACTGTGAGTGGAAGATACCACTTTTTGAATACACATGGGAACCACACATATGTTATTGTGGGCTCTTATCTCACACATCATTCAGCAAAAAGAGCTGGCGTCCCCCCCTAACTTCGCAGTGCACTTTAACTGGCGAGCTTTGCAAGATACAGCAGTAGAAGAACTGCCTTGGCACAGTGTCCTACTTTGATTAATCCTGCCCTTTATGATTCCTCAAAAGCTCCTGCCTTCACATCCTCGACAGTCGGTGCCATTACACACTCCAGGAAAACTGAGAGAATCAGCACTCACTCGATCTACTTCACAGACACTTTGAAGTGACCTTGAAGGCACCTGGGTTGTCTAGAAAAATATGAACTTTACTTTTTATTCTGATGGAAACATGGGCTGAATTTAACATTTTCTCACTTTCTGGGTCCATATTTTTGGAGTCCCATAGAATGCACATACACCATTGCATGCACAAAACCTGTATCTGAGTGCCCAGCTAGCAGTTACCTGCACAGATTAGGTATCTTTGCCCACAAGTACCAGTCTGTACATACCATACAGCTACCCAGTTTTCAAGTGTAAGTATAGGTTGTTGTCTACAATGTGCATGTGCGTGTGCACATTTTGGGGCAAATTCTGCCCCCTTCTGCATGCCTTTTCCTTCACAATGGAACCACATGGTTCTGTTGTACAAGGAGGAGCTGGGTGTGGGGGACCCTAACTCTGAACAAGACCCCTGTGTGCCAGCTTATGGAAGGTGGGAGGAGAGAAAGTTGGGGATCAACCACAGCACAGAACCTCCTTCTCTCTACTTGCTGTGTCGCGTCTAGATAAAAAAAAGGCTCTGCAACTTTTCTGAAACATGGGGAAGAGGATTCCTCCCACCCTGGCTCCCACTGTGCATCTCCCCAGCACCCAGTCTGACTATTTAGACCAACTGCTCAGTGTCTGAATATTGGACAGATGAAAATGGTTCCTCCATGGGAAATGATGAAAATTCCCTCACTTGGGACATTGAAAATGAGACCAGAATGGTCTCATTACTACAATTATTGCTCCTGCGCTGACAGGGGGATGGAACTAGATTAGCCAATGAGTCTTTACCATCTCTAATTTCTATGATCCCACAGTATGTCAGACAGGCAAATGCAGTTTGCTATGCAAGTCCATTATTATTAATTTATCTAAAACTGTTTTTCTGCAGATGTCCCACCAGAGAGCAGTACAAACTGAAGAATGATCAGTGCTCTTCCACTAGGATTTTCACATGCACATCTGAGCCTTGTTTATCAGCATGAGCAAAATCTCGCAGTCCTTACACGTTCTTCACGAAGGCAAAACTCCCTTTAACTTCAAAGGGAGCTTTGCGTCCATAAAGATTGCAGGATTGCACTCTATGTGCGATTTATTTCACCTCTCCATTGTATGCGTTTTACAGTGCCTTTTGTCATGAAAATTTGAGAAAAAAAATCATTATGTTCTTCAAAGATGTTTCCAATCTGAGTGAACTTCAAAGGGTGGGGGGGTTTAAGCTCATCAGGACCAAGCCAAACCTTGTTATAGAAATAAGCATGCAAATCCCAAAAGAGATGCAGTAAATGCAGAATCAGGTAACCCAAAGTTGATGGAGATTGACAGACTGTATCGCTATCAAGTAAGTGATAAAGACCCTGATTCAACAAGGTACTTAAGCATGTGCCTGCCTTTAAGCAGGTGAATAATCATATTGGTGGATTATTCCGGAAAGGCTTTGTGGGAGAAGTGTGACTAGAGGAGGGATGACTAAAGAGAGGGTGGTCTCATAGAGGAGAAAGACTGGTCTGAGTATAGGAGCAACATGGAGAAAGGCATGATGAGAGTACAAGAATAATACAAGAGAAGCACTTTGGAGGCAGGCTAAAGTAGAATAAAAGAAGCAAGAAAGGAGAGACAGCCAAGACTCAGGCAGGAATGGAGTTTTGCAAAGCTTTGAAATAAGTTGTCCACACTTACTTAAACTAGGAAGATAGCCTGGGACACTCTATAATGTCCTGATACCCCAACAGTTTTTGCAGGTAAAGTTATTTTTCATAGTTCTCCGTTAAAAGTTCTGTGACAGAAGCAGAACACACTGGAAAGGAGCCATTTTGCTCAAGTAGTTAAAAGAGTTCTAAAAATCGAGCTACAAGGAGACGTATAGAAAACTGAACAGGAGTACTTGTGGCACCTTAGAGACTAACAAATTTATTTGAGCATAAGCTTTCGTGGGCTAGAGCCCACTTAAATTTGTTAGTCTCTATGGTGCCACAAGTACTCCTGTTCTTTTTGCGGATACAGACTAACACGGCTGCTACTCTGAAACCTGTATAGAAAACTGCTTGTCCTAATGAATGGGCAAAATCTCTCAAGCACAGTGATTTCCTCTGCACAATGCCTTCCTGTTTTCCCTATGAGATGCCACAAAAGTTACTGCCCTACCATGAAAACAGGAGGTGTCCTTTCCCCCCCATTGCAGAATATTTATATCATAACATTTGAGATGGCTTCTTAGCCTAACCAAAGGCTATACAACACGTCCATCTGAGTAGAGAGGGGAGCAAGCTGCAACATTCACATCCTGAGTCAGAGCCAAACTTTCTCATAGCACAGGGGTGTTCAGATCTGCAGTTTGTGTTCAGAGTAGGATCAGCCATCAAGTTCAGACTGGGATGTCCTCCAAGTCTGAGGATATTTGAATTCCGGCTTTGGGCCCATCTCAATATGAGAGTGCAATATTTCAGCTACAGCTCAGATTTAATAGCAGCACAAAGTTGTCTGGACTCAGACTGGACCTATCAGTAAAACAGTGATCAGGTTTGCCAGTAAGGTACTGTGCCTAGTAACCTATTTTAGCTAGCTTTGAGCTTCCTAAGCATACGAGCCCATCAATTTTATCTGAGATTAAGGCTTAAAAAATATCCCTGCTGGTGCCAACTAATGAAAGAGGATAAGCCAACAAGATGGACATTCATTTGCAACACTCAGTTAATTTCAGCCAGCTCCAGACTCACAACAAGCTGAGTCCCAAACAAGAAATGTCTTTGAACGCCTTGCCTTTTGGTCTGGCTGCTGGGGGAAGGGATGAGGTGGAAAACTGAGCCAATGAGTTCCATTTCCAGCTGTGTCACATGCTTCAGGTCTGCTTATCTGCCCATCTACACTCTTCTTAAAGGAGTTTGAATTGCGCTAGTATAACTGAAAACAGTACCGGGCTCTTCTTCAGTGACTGCATGCAAATCATTTAGGCCCAATTTTTTTTACAAGCATTGCTTAATCTTGAATGACTGTTTTGGGATGCTCATCTTGAGCCACCTAGGGCTGATTGTCAGAGGTTCTGAGCACCTACAACTGCCATTCACTTCAGTGGCAGATGCCACTGCTCAGCATGCACAAGTTTTCACATCTCCACAGCACTGTTCGACACTGGACAACATTGTTAGATCATTCCCAGACCTATCTTCTCTATGGAGACTGTACTTCTGAGAGCGGCCTCAAGCAAAGCAGTCCATTCTCTACCAGGCTAGTGTTCCTGCCAGTAGATAGGTATAGTATTGCATAGACATCCGAAGGTTCCAGTTGGCATCAGGATGCCAGCTGAAATCCAACACAGATCAGTGGTGCTGAGGGAAAGCTTTGCCAGTAAGTGGTCTATGTGAAAGGAGTTGGTGGTCTCAATCCAGTTCCTACTGGACAGGTGTCCATGTCACCAAATCGTCACCATAACTGGCCCTCATTGTCACTTTTCATGGCAGTCTCAACAAGACTGAATGGGCATTGGAGAGTCAGTATTATTCTTTTGCTGCTAGAGGTTGTCCCCTCCAGTTTAGGAGTCAAACATATTGGCAAGGCAATGGGCAGGGATGCTTGCCCTGCTATTCTACACATAGATGGAAGATTTCAGTCTCTAGGGGTGTCTATCTCACACTGATCACAAGGATTAAATTTACTCAGGAAAACACAAACACAATTATTTCCACTTCTTATGAATTCACAACATATTAATTTCTGTCTCTCAGGTTTCTCTCTGAACAGCCCACACAGCTAATCCCGGGACTATATTTCTCTAAATTTTCCATCTTCCACCCACAGCTCCATTGACTTCTCCACCCAGAAAAAGCAGAACTGTGAGAAAATAGCAGCGGTATAGAAATCTAAAGAAATATTTCAAGCCCACTTAGCCTGGAAAAGGATTAAAGAAAAGCAAGGATGTCTGAGGAGGAGCTCCATGAGTTTACACACAGCCAGTAGGAAATCTTCAGCCACCACAATAGCAAGGTTAGGGACTGATTGTTGTCAGAGAACTAAAAAGGTTCTGCACTAAATCATCCCGGGATGCATGCGGATGAAAAGTTGAAGGGGGTGGGAACATTTGGGGAGAAAAATCTCTGTGCCGATTTCTTTGCAGAGATTCCCCCAACTCTCCCATTGGGGAGTGGGGATTGTCTCCACAGGAAAGGGTGTGGTCCTGTCCACATACCTGGTGGATCTCCTGGAACCTGCAGGAGGCCACAACCATTTGCGTGTAGGCCCTGTATCCTTGCACCTGATCCAGCCCCCTGTGGTGCATTGGAGACCCCCCTTGTCTGTGGTGGAAGGATATATGCAGAGAAGTTAATGTAGCCTAGGACTGTATTACCTTTTCCTGGTAAGTTCCATATACCAGCAGGAATGTGCGATTCGCATCCTGTACCCCCAACTTGCCCACTACTTCCCCATGCCTCCTCCCTCATTCTCTGCTCCCTCCACCATGCCCAGGCCACCCCAGCAGTTGTATTAACTTTCCATTGGATCCCCATTGGTGCTGCAGAACCCCCTTTCAAGGGAAATCCAAGAGGCCTGCCTCTTGGATTTCCCTTGAAAGGGGGTTCTGCAGCTTCTGGGCTTTATGGAGCTGGAGCAAAACAGGATGGGACTAGAGATACAGGTTCGCTGTGTAAATGGCCTGTGCCTGGCATATCCCCAAGATCTGTGGTGTCTGTCAAATGTATTCCCTGTTTGCTTTTATTTTTTGTCCTTTCTGAAATTTCACTCTGGTCACAGTGAAAAGCTATTTTCTACCCACAGAAAGGCCAAAATATCAATTTGATTCAGTAATATATAGACTCATGAACAGTTCAGATTTTGCACAGGCATACTTGACAATGAGGGTCAGTCAATTCTGTCATTTTGTAGGCACAGTTATCTTCACACAAGCAAACTGCTCCACACTGAACTTATTTTGCTCACCAGTGACAGAAAACTGAACATTTTCAGCTTTGCTGTTGAGCAGAATAGAGGCTATTCCAATTAATTGTAAGTAAACTTGTAAACTTGGAGTAAACATGTACTGTATGGTCAGGAGCAACCACATTTTGCCTAACTGAAGACAACATTGGCTGGAATTCAAGGGCCTCATAAAATTTGTATGAAACTGAGCACACTGCAGCTGCCTGCATACCAGGGACAGCCATGCAGAACTCCTGTTCCTCCTCCTGCTTGGATTAAGACAAAGCATCATGTGCTGGCACATTTAGTCTATGCAGGCCTCAACTCCCTATTTAAAGATCAAAAGGAGCCATGGTCTACATTGTAGAGTTCTGGGGGCTACATTTGGCACATGGGTACTGACTTTTTTTGCAGGCTATTTAAATATTCTTTTAAAATGTATTTATCCTGTTTGTTTTTCCTTTTCCTTAGACTATCACCAACTGCCTCTGTGTGTCACCTAATTCATTTCTGTTATTTTTAAGAACAATTAAACTATTCCCCCAAACGCCTTTGGGCAATGGGCTCTTCCCTCTGTATAAACCTCCGTCTTCCTTACTGTCCCTGAATCATGTGGGGCTGGAAGGTCATGAGGGGCCTGTTTTTTTTCTCATTCTCTCTGTTGCCATCCTTTGGGCAGGTATAAGAGGACAGAAAATATACTGATCAGTTATGTGGAACACACACTGAAGTCAGTGCAGTCTGGGACAGTGCTGATGTCACTGGAACCTGTCTATTACCCTCACCTGACAAATATGAGCCTTGATATGGATGATGACAACATATATACTCAGTGCCATCATTACTGTGTTTGAAGTGACGGATGGTAAGAGAGCTGGGTGGGAAATGGTTTTGCCGACCCACGAACATTTGAGATTTCGAAAATGGACCCATTCCATGTCAGGATGAAACAAAGACCCTTTGAAGTGTTTTTGGTGAAAAAACAGAGAGAAATAGCTCCACTCCAGAATAGCCAATAGTCCAGTGGCTAGAACAGTCATGTGGGACATCAGCAACCCAGGTTCAAGTCCTTGCTCTGCCTGATTCAGACCAGGGACTTGAACCTGAGTCTCTGACATCCCAGGTGAGTGACCTCATCACTGGACTCTTCTGGGGTGGGTCTCCCTCCTCTCCTCACCTCCTGAAATCCTGGACTTGAGAAACTTTTCCCAAAAGTTCAGTCAAAAGCAGTACATTGCCACAAAATGTTTTGGTTTCAATAAATTGGCATTTTCTGACCCAAAAAATTGTCAAAAAATTCCAAACCAGCTCCAATCCAAGAGTTGGTTTGTTTTTCTGTGGGGAGCCTTTTTTGGGGTGGGGTAGGAAAGGTTATTTATTAGTGATGATTAATTATTATTTATTTTCCTAGGAGAAATAGTTTATAAGTTGCGTGCACTCACAATTTGGATATGCCGGTTATTGTAGTTTTTAGAGTACATGTATTACTAATTATTATTATTTGCATTGCAAGAATATCTAGAATCTGAACCCACTCAAGATCTGGGGCCCCATTGTTCTGGGTGCTGCACAAATACATAGCAAACTAAGTCCCTGCCCTGAGGATCTTACAATGCAAGTTTTTTTGATATAGCAAGATGATTTGCACAGACAGACTCCTGTGCCAGCATAAAGCCCGATTGAAATCACCAGGCGGTCACCCACACAGAACTCATTGATCAGGTCTTAGGAAAGCTTACAATCTAATTGTAAATCTTACAATTTAACATAGGAATGCTCCATACCAATAGCGTACTAATACTTGTGATGTGTTTAATAAAGAAATCACATGAATGAATCCTTCTGCTATGCTCTAGTGATGAACCCCCACAACAGATTTTCAGGTCTCTTAATCCTTTTTTTTTTTTTTAAGCAAACATACAGACTTCCCAGCCTCTGCCCTTTTCTGTGCAACACAAGTGCACTGGTTCTGCTGGGGAGGAGGGGGGCCTCCATAGCTGAAGAGGAGGAGGTAGAATTTGCCCCTTAATGTCTTTTATTTCCCAACTGAGGACTAGCTCAATGGAAGTTTTTCCTGAGTAAAGACTGCATAAGGACTTCAGGTTTGGGTCTGTAGTAAATGGGTTCATTAGTTTAGCAGAATAAAATGATGATGTTTCTAGTTTCCCCCGATCTAATATCAGAGATTAGCATCTGGCCCAGAAGCTGATTTCTTCTTTATGTAATTCAGGACAAACAGAATAACCTCTTATATAATAATCCATGATCTGGAAAGTACTCCTTAACTTCTATTTAATCTCATCTATCCACATTTCAAACCTTAGGGACTGACCTGAGACCCTCTCCTTCAGGAGAGTACTGTCTGCAGTACTCCAGTGTGAAAGACTTTGTTGCTTCTGAGTTGGCTGTGCTCCATCGGATGATGGCAGTGTCCCAACACACAGTACAGTCTTCTGCCTTTAGTAAGGGGATAGAGGGTGCTGTGAACACAATGATGTATTAGCTGTACTATGAAGAATGCTACAGCAACTGCAATATATATGCTAGGCAGATTGAAATGAAAAGACAACCACAAAACGTATATGTCACCAATCCTAAAAAAACAATAAACTGAATTAGCGTAGAAAGATCATTTTTCCTCAGATGGAAATAATGTGTGTGGAAACAACTGTAAACAACACCACTACAATAATGTTCTCCCATCCCCTGTTATCTTTTATGGGGGGGGGGGGGGGGGAGAGGAGGCATGCTAACAGGAAAAACACTTTACTACTTTACTTTACCCATCTCATTACAAA